AATGATGCTACTGTGAACTTCTGTGTACAAGTTTTTGTGTGGATATGTTTTCCTAGTCACTCCTACCTATAAGAACACATGAAAGGTGAGCCAATTTCCAACTGAGAAACTCACCTAATCTGACAATCCTATATTATTTAAAATACAGACAGATAACTGGGAGAAATAAATGACCACAGAAAGTACAGTTAAAGACATTAAGAAACAAAAGCAAAACCTGATCTAACAGAATCAACAGTGATTAAACAAAGAGATGTCACTTCTAGGGATGGGCCCCACAGGCACACGTGCACATGTCCACAATGCTGTGCCTGCAGCCTGATTTTAACTGCGCAAAATATGATGTTCACCAGCAGGGGCTGGTTAGATAAATTATAGCACCTCCACACAGCCAGACACGATGTAGTCATGAAAAAGAATGAACTGGAAAATGTACTGATATGGAGTGACTTCCCAAACCCAAACACATTTAGTTAAAAAGGCGAGGTTACGAAAAATTTTTTAAAGAAAAGAGCGGGAAAAAAAGAAGACATATACATGTTTGCGTGCATAGTTACAACAAAGTATCTCTAGAAGGAGATGGAGTGGGTGCCTCCAGGGGACCAGGCTTCTGGGGGCAGAGAAGGGATGGAGGCAACAGACAGCTACACTGTGCACCCTCTGTGCCTTCAAACCCTGAAGATGTTACGTAGTACAAAATTTTTTAACCTTTTAAGGAGCAAAAATGAAAAGAATCTATGAGAATTAAAACATTTACACTTAGGACAGCAAGAGATGAGAGGCCTCAGGTAGCTGGAAGCAGCCGCTGCTGTGTCAACCTGGGAAGCACAACGGTGACTCCCACCCAAAGGCGTCCATCCCTGCTGATGTTAAGACACAAAGGAAATGCTACACGAGGCACTGAGTCCACTGCCCTCGAGGACTCCCTGTGCAGAGGGGGACAACTGGAGGCTGTGCAGAGCGTGCCTGGCATGGGGACAGATCAGGCCCCAGGCAGGCCCCAGTGAGGGCCTAAGGAGCCACCGAGCCCTGCTTGTGTGAGGGGAAGAGAGAATGCGGAGCAGGGCTGGGCCTGGCGGTGCTCAGCCAGAGTCGCCGGAGCGCTGGGTGCGAGTCGGGGCACGCTGGGCCACGGACAGCAGTCCAGGGGGCACGGCGAGCCGGGGAGGAGGGCAGAGCAGCAGCACGACTGGCACACATGCCCGGGGCCTGCTCCTCGGCCGCGGAGCATCCTGGGTGGCACGGGATGGCCTCCACACATTCGCTGCCGCTGCACCTGCTCCCAGTTGGGACGACCGCAAATGTCTCCAGATGAACCACCGCTGGATGAGAACACTGACCTGCACACATGCCCTGAGCAGCTGCGTGGAAGACAGAGGTGAGGGGGTCCAGCCAGGAGGAACCGCCACAGTGTGGACGAGACAGGCACAGGCCCCGCCTGGCAGCTGGCCCTGCTGCCAGAGGAAGGGGGATTCATTAACTACGTGGAAGGTACGACGAGCAAGGCAGGGAGCAGCAGCATGCGGGGGAAGAACCTAGCACATGATGGGCCCAGAGCACCAGGCGGCCAAGGCTAGAAGTGAGGCAGGAGGCAAGGCCTGAGACGCCTGCAGGGCTTCCGCGCAGGCGGCTAAGGGAAGAAGTGCGGCTGGCACTTGTCTGCTCACTTGGGGTGGTCCTAGCATTGGCTCTGGTTATTTGGCCACCCTCCCTGTAAGAGGGCTGTCCATCCTACAGCCTGTCCCTGGCCGTGGGACGTATCTCCTCTCCCGGGGCTGGGCCAGGAGACCTGCTTTGGCCACAGAACTTGAGTCTCCAGTTCTAAGCTGAAGCTCAAAGAGAGGCTGAGTCTCTGCCACTCTCTTGCCATAAGAATAGCGTGTCCCAAACAAGGGCACGTCCCCGATCCAGCAATGAAGACTCTCAGAAAAGAGCCCCAAGCAAATGAAATGTGAGCTAGAAATAAACCTCTGACTTGTTACTGCAGTCTTTCTAGAGAAAGCTGCCCAATAAACTCCCTGATTTCTTCCTTCCCCAACCCATCCTACGCATCACGGCCAGGTACACGTTCCTAACCCATTTTATCAGGACTTCCCCTACTCACAGACCTGAAGTGGCTCCCCATAGCCAGAGAACTGAAATCTAAAGTCCTTCACCTAAGTTCAAAGATCTTCACGTTATAACCCTTATTTCCTCTTATTCCTTATACAAACTTCTAACCCCACAAACCACACATGAGCCACCTTCTTGCCTTTACTCCCAAGACCTGAAACCCTTTCTGTCTGTAGTGCTGCAGTGTCCTCCATCCTTCCCCCACTCACCTCCTGCTGAGGTTCAGCTCAAAGACCACCTCTTCCTTGAAGCCCCCCCCCTGCAGTCCTTCTCCCTCTGAACTTCTAGAGCAAACTTTTTCTGAAAATGGGCCAGACAGGAAACAGTTTAGGTGTTGTGGGCCATGAAGTCTCTGTTGCAACTAGTCAAGTCTGCCAAAAAAGCCACAGATGAGGGCTTCCCTGGTGGCGCAGTGGTTGAGAGTCCGCCTGCCGATGCAGGGGACGCGGGTTCGTGCCCCGGTCCGGGAAGATCCCACATGCGGCGGAGCGGCTGGGCCCGTGAGCCATGGCCGTTGAGCCTGCGCGTCCGGAGCCTGTGCTCCGCAACGGGAGAGGCCACAACAGTGAGAGGCCCGCGTAAAGCCACAGATGATACAAAAATAAACCAGGGTGGCTGTGTTGCAATAAAACTTTATTTACAAAGACAGGCCAAGGGCCTGTCAGTGGCTGTAGCTTAGAGACCCTCGTCTGGCGCAGTGTTTGGAAGGCTGAGGCGTGAGCACAGCAGAAGCAGGAGTGAGCTAAGGCTGCAGGCCCAAGGGAGGAGGCTCTTCTCAGCAGGGTGAAACAGTGTGGCTGCAGGACAGCAGTCAGGGTCAGAAACAACCGCGGGGAGCAGGCCAGAGCTGCCAGGTGACATCAAGGGCGAGTCCCAGAGGCTGATGGGAGGCACGGTGAGGCAGGCATAGGAGGGAGCAGAGACAGCCCACAGCTGAGGGTGCAGACTTTACCAGGGGAGCAAGAAGGATAACAGGAGAAGAGACCTCCAGGCAGGGCAGCCCAGTCCAGCTCTGCCAGGTGTCGCCAGGCCCAGCGCTGCGACACCCAGGCTGAGCTCCTGAGACAGGACACCCACAGAGCCAACTTTGAGTGGGAGCGTGTAAGACCCTCAACAAATGGCCACATGGGTCAGTGAACAGGCACAGCAAAGCTATCTTGCTAGTAAAACTAGATATTTCACTACGAGAATGTTCTCCTAGTGAAACATTTTTTTAATTTTTTCATCTTTACACGGACATTTTTCTTCAAAAGCAACAAAGAACCAGGTGGAGGCTTAACAACACACTGAATTCACTGTTATTACATTGTTCAAGGACAGCCCACACCAGCACACATGCAGGAAAGAAGGCGGGGATGGACGTTTTTAAATCTATCTTTAGATATTTTAAAATTTGCTCACAGAAGCTATTTCGTTACCATTCACTCTGAACATCAAATGTTCTCAACCTTAGACTCCACAAATGCCCAAAGACTCTCCTTAAAGTGTGTGTGGGGGGTCCCTCCTAGTCTTAGTGTCACACAGATAAAGGGGATGAGATGAAGTGATCTAGGGTAAGGCTAAGATACTCTTCCTAGACCTGAGAAAGAGAACCATCTTCTTGGGAAACATGACGAATTTTTCCACTTTGTTCTGAAGCAAGTTAAGTTATTCCTTCCAACAGCTTAGCAAGACAGAATGTTACAGCACTGATAATGCCAAGTCCTCATTTTCTGGTGCTTATGCCCTCACTGTCACTTAGTTTGTTAATAAAGTATCTTTTCCGTTACAAGGATAACACTGTGAAGTATAACAACAGGGATTCCCTGGGGGCACAGTGGTTAAGAATCTGCCTGCCAATGTAGGGGACACAGGTTTGAGCCCTGGTCTGGGAAGATCCCACATGCCGCGGAGCAACTGAACCCGTGTGCCACAACTACTCTGCCTGCGCTCTAGAGCCCGCGAGCCACAACTACTGAGCCCACGTGCCACAACTACTGAGCCTGTGCACCTAGAGCCCGTGCTCCGCAACAAGACAAGCCATCACAATGCAACGAAGAGTAGACCCCGCTCTTAGCAACCAGAGAAAGCCCACGTGCGGCAACAAGGACACAACGCAGCCAAAATTAATTAATTAATTAATTTAATTAAAAAGAAAAAAGTATAACAACAATGGCTTTGATAGTTTAATTCAAGTAGAGAATTACCCAAGAACTGCTCGACATCTCATTTCTGTCAACAACAATCCTATCTACCTCCCAGGACAATAAGTACTGCAGGATTTTAGACTGGTTCATTAGAAGCTTTCTTCTTCTAAAAAGATTTTTAAAAACAGTTCTATATGATAATTTATCTAAGTACATGAGATTTGTTCCTCGTTTACCTTTATAAAGACTTGTTTCTCCAAATATGACCCCAGCTTGCACAAGAAAAGAGAGCCACAGACCTCAAGTTAGTGTTAAACTAAGACGAAACAGCCGACCCAGTGAGTGCACCCTGGAAACCAGATCTTGGCAGCGATAACAACTCCTGACTTTTCTCAACACTGACAACAAGGCACAATGAATTCACCGAGTCCCCACAACCACCCAGGGAGCCCAATATTATTGGTGCTCCCATTTTACACATGAGGAACCAAAGGCAGAGTACAAAGCCAGTAAACAGAAGCGTCATGACTCAAAGGCAAGCAGTCTGGCTCCAGAAGCCGCCCTCTTCTCCCCCCTGTTCTCCAGCCTCTCCAGACAGCTGACTAGACAAAGTGCAGGCAGAGAGACCCAGGGCCCTGCTCATTCCCAAGCCAGCGCGCGGGGCACACAGTCCGCGCCAAGCTGCTTTATGGAATGAGTCTCCTTGCTTCACATTCACCCCTATCAAATCTCCTTCCCCTCCCCCAACGAGGAGAAACACACCTTGCTCACTGTGAAAGGGGAGCCGCTGACCGGGAACCACCTGCTGTTTACAGAGGCACCCAGGATGTACAGGGTGCAATTCCCCTCGCTGGCTTCAAAGACAAACCTCCTATTGTCTGCACCAGGGGAGGAACAAGAAGCCTTCCAACTGTAGGTTTCTGTAAAGGTCACAGGAGGTTTGGTTAAACCCTAGGACAACGAAGCGGGTGAGGGACGCCGCATTTTTGCTGCTGAAGGCTGCGCAGCGTCCACAGCAGCTGCTGGTGGGAGCAGCATGTAACACACCCACAGCTGCGGCGGCCTCCCCGCCAGCTGCACGTTTTAAAATAAAAGACGTCCTGACCCCCAAGATGCGCACAGCCTGCCTCTATCTCGGCCCTCGCGCGGAACACTGCCTCCACCCACACCAATCCCGCAACCAGGGAGCCACCGCGGGAATTCCAGCTCCGGGAGGGCGACCGGGAGGGAAGTAGGGGACGCCCCAGCCCGCCTCCCTGCAGAGGCCAGATCGGCGGGGCCGGAGGCCACGGCCCGCACCCGGACACGCGCGTCCCGACTCCCCGGCCCTGCACCTCCCCGACTGCGCACCCGAACCGCGCCGACACCACGCGCTCAGGCCCGGCACTCCACTCACGCCCACCCTAGGCCGGGCACGCTCACACTCCAGGGCCGGCACACTCACCGACCCGCACCCCGGGCCGGGCACACTCTCACCCACCTTCACCCCTAGGCCTGACCCCACACCCACCACACACCCTGGCCCCGCGAGGCCTGGGCCCCTCGCGCCCCTGCGCCGCCCCCCCAGCCGGACCTCTACACACAGAACCCGCCCCTCCCCGGCCCGGTCGCGGCACCGCCCGCCCCCTCAGTCGCCAAGGACCCGTATCCTCGCGGGCCGGGCCGGGGACCTCCAGGAGACCGGGCAGGGGCCACAGCGCCGGCCTCTCCGCCATCTTCCCGGCCCGCGCCGCCCACCGTCCGCGCTCTCACCCGCAGGCTGCGCGCGGGCCGCGCGGCCACAGCCCCTCATCCCGGCTCGCACGCTGCGCGTGAGCTGCTCGCGGCTCTCCCGCGCCGCCGCCGCCCGCTCGGTGCGCGCCCTCCGCCGCCGCCGCCGCCGCCGCCGCTGCCGCCGCCGCCGGCCCAATGCGCCGCGACCGCGCGTCCTCCCGTCACCAGCGCAACCCCCCGCCTCCGGCCCCGCCCCCGCCCCGCACGGCCCCCGCCGCCAGGGGACGCCGCCGCGAGCCCCGTGCACATGCGCCGGCGCGCGGCACGCCGGGAGCAGGAGTCCCGCCGGGGGCGTGCGCTGCATGCCGGGAGTCGGGAGCGTAGTCGCGCTGGCTCCGCCCACAGCGCGCGTGTGGGGTACTCGCGCTGTCCGGGCGAGTTCGGGGATGCTTCGGGCGAAGAGGGGCGCCCCCGGCCCGGGTCACCCGGGGCCCTGGGTGCGACGGGCGGAGAGGGGCGGCTGCTGGCCAGGTGATGCCGAAGCGCTCCCTCCAGCCCCGCGGTCCGCACCACGGCCGACGATGCCTGTCAGATCGCTCCTGAGATTCTTCCGAGCCCCTTCGGTGCGGTGCAGTTGACATTTCCTACGTGTCGGTGTGGATTTGGTGTAATTTTACCTACTCAAACCATGTTGGACTTCCTGGAAAAGATTTCACTTTTCCTTGATTCTGGAAAGTTATCAGTCACTGTCTCTTAAAATATTGGCTCTCCTCCATTCTTATAGGTTCTCCCTATGTATCTGTCAAGCTAAACTGGACGGCCTGTGTCCTCCGTGTCTCTACGATTTTCTCTTTTTGCTCTGTCATCTTAACTCTTGGTAATTGGTCAGTTAAGCTTTACTGTTGTTCTATTTAGCGTTTTCTAATCTGCGTTTAGCCTGCTCTTCAGGCTTTTAAAAATTATTATTACCTATACAGTATTCATTTCCAGAAGTTGTAGTATTTGACATGCATGTCGATATAAATGGAAGCTAACCAGCCTGAAGCTCCCACAACAAAACAGAGAAGCCCACACCACTCCGTGGCCACAGCCCGGATCCCATTCGCACAAGGAACTGCAAAGGGCTGAAAGCTCAAGCTCAGAAGCCCTCAGTTGAGTTCCACTTCCGGCCTGCAGCTCACTCCCTCAGTGCGCCGCTGCTGCAGTGCTTTGCCTCCCGGCTCTGATCGGGACTCTGTCACCACTCTTTGACTTCCCTTTTGGCCCATCCTCACACTGCACTCCCATACACAGGAAAAATGGTCTCTGCTCTCCTGTCTCTAGCTCCCTCTCCGTTGTGCACACTTGAGAAAGCCCAGTCTGGAGGAACCCCACCATTCTCCACCATGAATGCTGCAGAAACATCACAGACCTGTGCTGGCTGGCTTCGCTTTAAACTTAGAAGGAGCACTTCACGCTCCTTGGCAATCTTGTGATTTTTCTCCAGAGGGTAAGTCTCCCGTTCCCCAAAGTGAGCATAGGAATTTCTTAGGCCTCTCTAGTTCAGCCTCCCAGATGAGAACAAAACTTCTTATCACCAAACCCAAAGGCCCGCCCATATCTATCCCTGCCCTTCACCTTCCCTCCTGAAAATGGGCAGGCAGTTTCCCTGCTCCTATACAAGGCAGGCCCTCCTCTGATGAACTGGGACCCACTGCCTCTTGCATTCTCAAAGATTTTGTTTATCTGTCTCCTCTCCTGCATCATCTGTTTGTCTCTCTCTGTTTTATTATTTGCATGAGCATACAAAGCCACTGATATTTCTCGTTATAAAAACAAAATGCCTCCTTTAACTCCACTTATCCCTCCCAGGTCCTTGGGTCCCCTGGTGGCCATGCTTCACAAAAGACTTACCTGAACCTCACCATAATATTGTTTTTGTTTGTTGGTTTTATTTTGTCTTTTATTGAAGTATAGTTAATTTACAACGTTGTTAGTTTCAATTGTATAGCAAAGTGATTCAGTTATACATATTTTTTTCAGATTCTTTTCCAATATCACAAGATATTGAGTATAGTTCCTTGTGCTACACAGTAGGTCCTTGTTGTTTACCTATTTTATTTATAGTAGTGTGTATCTGTTAATCCCACACTACTAATTTGGGATGAATGGATAAAGATGTGATACATATATACAATGGAATATTATTCAGCTATAAAAAAGAACGAAGTGATGCCATTTGCAGCAACATGGATGGACCCAGAGATTATCATACTAAGTGAAGTAAGTCAGACAGAGAAAGACAAATATCATATGATATCACTTATTTGTGCAATCTAAAAAAATGATACAGGGAATTCCCTGGCCGTCCAGTGGTTAGAACCTGGCGATTTCACTGCTGTGTCCCGGGTTCAATCCCTGGTCGGTGAACTTAGCCACAAGCCATGTGGCATGGCCAATAAATAAATATGTTTTTAAAGATACAAAGATTCACAAAACAGAAACAGACTCACAGACATAGAAAACAATCTTATGGTTACCAAAGGGGAAAGTGAGGAGGGCTACATTAGTAGTCTGGGATAAATTAACTACATTAGTAGTTTGGGATAAATTTATAAATAAATAATAAATTATTGAAAACATAGATGTGGAATTCGTACATAAAAATTGTTAACTGAATGCCAACATACAAAAACACAGAATGCTTAAGGATATACAAGAATGTAAGGATAGGGACTTCCCTGGTGGTGCAGTGGTTAAGAATCTGCCTGCCGATTGCAGGGGACATGGGTTTGAGCCCTGGTCCGGGAAGATCCCACATACCGCGGAGCAACTAAGCCCGTGTGCCACAACTACTGAGCCTGCTAGAGCCCGCGAGCCACAACTACTGAGCCCATGAGCTACAACTACCAAAGCCTGTGTGCCTAGAGCCGGTGCTCCGCAACAAGAGAAGCCACCGCAATGAGAAGCCCACACACCGCAACGAAGAGTAGCCCCTGCCCGCCACAACTAGAGAAAGCCCGTGGGCAGCAACGAAGACCCAACACAGCCAAAAATAAATAAATAAATAATTTTAAAAAAGAATGTAAGGATAACATCAGAAAAATCTATCCGTGTAATTTAGCATATCATCAGACTAAGGATAAAATCACCTCCTCTCAATTGTTGATAAAAGTCAGCATCTCTTTATGATCAAAAAATTTTTAACTGAGACTACAAAGGAAACTTTATTAACCTGATAAAGGCTATATACCAAAATCCCACACAAATTATTTTCAACAGAGAATCTTTGGATACAAACCCTTTAAGGTCAGGAGCAAGAAAGGATGCCTTTCTTGGTGGGTGTTGGTGGGTGGAGGCGGGTGTACTCAGCCGATGCAACAATAAAAGAAAAAAAGGAGCCTAAGGATTAGAAGAGAATAACCTGAAGTCTCAAAAATTGAAGATAATATGAAATTCTACACAGAAAATATACAGAATCAACAAAGTATTAGAATCAGTGAGTTCAGTAAGATCTGCTCACAAAACCCAACAATGGTTCTCTACAGATGAGAAACCACCAACTGGAAAATATGATGGAAAGTGAGATGCCCTTCACAACACCAACGGAAGCTATAAACCATGTAGGCATTAAGCTAATTAAACATATACAAAACCTTTATAGAGGACACATAAAAACTCTATGAAAGTATCTTAAAAGAAAGCCTAAATAAATGGAGAAACATACAATGTTCATGGACCAGAAGGCATAACACTGTAAAGATGTCAATGCTCACTAAAGTGGTCTAAAAAACCAAAATATTAATAATCTAGTTCTAGTAAGATTTTTTGAGGAATGTGAAAAACATATTTTTTAGATATACATGGAAGAATAAAAGTCTACAAATAGCTAGTTCAGTTTTGAAGGAGGACATACAGCAGGCAGGTACTCTACCAGATGTTAGGATCTACTCCAAAGCAATGGTACTTGATAGGCTCAGGAACACAAATGGACCAATAGAACAGAAAAAAGAATTCAGAATCTCACTAATGTATAAAAAGTAATGGGGAAAGATTGATTATTTAATGTATTCTTTGTTGAGGAATTATTTGAAGAAACATGAAGCTGGATCCACATCTAATATGTATAAAATTGGGTTCCCAGTAGATTATCCACATAAATATGAAAAGTAGAAGAAAGTAAAACTGAAATACTTCTAAAAAAAATAGAGGTGAATCTTTATGACCTTGGAGAAGGTAAAGACTTATTAAAACCACAAAACTACAAGCCACAAGGTAAAAAATTAACTAATTTGACTACCTCTGATTTAATTTCTACTAAACAGATGACATCACAGTTAAAATTAATAGATGATGGACTAGCAGAAGACATTTACAGTCTAAATCTGACAAGAGATTGGTATCTAGAATATACAAGAGCTCTTGCATATCAACAATGAAACAAAACAAAAAACAGGAACTCCAATAGCAACATAGGCCAGAAACAAAAACAAAAAACATATACATATGAAAAGACAATTCACGAAGGGGGAAAGCCCACATGTTATTTGAGGAGATCATGAAACTCACTAGGAATCCATTAAGGACAAATTGAAACAACCATGATATGCATCTGATTGGCAGAAATAAGAACACTGTATAACACTTAGTGTTGGGGAGGGTGTAGTGAATTGGGAACTCTCAGGCACGGCTACTGGGAGTGTAAATGTACTCAGCAGCTCTGAAGGGCAACCTAGCGGTAGTCAGTGAAATTAAGCGTGCAATACCTTATGAACAAGCAACCCGTTCTTG